TACGCGGGCCTCTCACTGTTGTGGCCTCTCCCGTTGCGGAGCACAGGCTCTGGACGCGCAGGCTCAGCGGCCATGGCTCACAGGCCCAGCCGCTCTGCGGCATGTGGGATCTTCTCGGACCGGGGCACGAACCCGTGTCCCCTGCATCGGCAGGCGGGCTCTCAACCACTGCGCCACCAGGGAAGCCCCTCAAACTTAAAATTTTTAATATGCCTCAGCTTATCTTTTCACAGGTCTGGTGACAGAAGAGGGAACCCGAGGAAACCCTCGACAGCCCTCAGGGGGACGAGAAACAGCAATGAAGTTACCTGCACAGCCCCTTGAGTCGCTGCTTTCTCGCCGCCTCTGGAGGTGGTGGGTAAATTCACTCGAATCCTCCATCCATACATTGTGTGTTAAGAACTTTCAGACTTTGAGCATTTTTTCCCCCTGGCCTGGGTTCTGAAACTGGCCGGGGTTGGAATGCAACGGACATAAGAGACCGGACTGTTTCCGGTGATGGACGGGGCCGACTCCGAAACTAGACCGGGTCCCGGGTCAGACTTGGTCCGACTTAACGCTGGACTGGTCCTGAGTGACGCCTCGGGCGAATAAAATTTTGTTTGAAGGCTGAATGAGCAGGTTAATCTTACCAAAGATAAACATGAATTACAATGGCCGCAATGGAGAACTTTGAACCTAGACAAGATTATTCATGTATGACGCGCCCTGGAGAAAATGGAGTCTCAGCCAAGCGCTCACCGTGAAGGGTAGAGGGAAAACCCACTGGGCCACCCCACTCTCTCTGGAACCCACAGACAGGATCCAGGGAAATCCTGCAGGAGCCGGCCAAGGGTTAGAATCCTTACCGAAGTCAGCTGGCCCATCTCTGTTTCTTTCTGTGCTGCCTGGTCGAGAGAGGAAGGTAAAATTTCATTTTGTCCCTTCCTTTCCAAATCCAGATTGGTGGGGAAAACATTTGTAAGATTTTAATGTTACCGAACACAGGATCCTGTGCCCAACACACAGTGAGGCTAAACAAAGCAAAATGTCGGAGTCTGGAGCAGAGGAAGGCTTAATACAGGACCAAGCAAGGAGAATAGGGTGGCTCATGCTCAAAACCCCCCGAACTCCCTGATGCTTCTCACGGAGAAATTTTTATAGGTAAAATTTGGGGTGAGGGGTTTAGGGGGTGTGACTTTCTACTGATTGGTTGTTGGTGAGGTAACGGGGAGGTGCTCCAGGAATTTTGGGCTCAGCCTGAATTTACCATCCTCCACCTGGATGGGGGCTTTAGTTCCTGCAGAAGAACTCAAAGATACTGTTAAGTATATCCCTTGAGGGGGAATGAGTTCGCGGTTTTAATCACTGCACTATAGTTTCTTGATCGCTCTGCCTTTGTTTCTGCATTCTCTTACTTTCCTGACCACCAACTGTTTGAATGTGCTCTTTGGAACTCAGGGAAGGTCTAGGAGGTTGAAGCCCTCTTCCTGCAAACAAGAAATGGGGGACAGGGAAAGGATTTATACCCAGGAGGGCCCCACAGGATCCTGCTCAGTTGCAGATCCTTGAATTGTGTGACTTGTGAATTTGCTTTCAGGTACCATTCGTTGTCCATCCTTTCTTTCCCAGGGGCAGCTCTTGCCTCTTGTTTGTCTTATTTTGTGTCCTGAGAACTTGGCTTGGCAACACTTTGGGGGCATGGCTAGGCAGAAATATGTGTTGCCTAAGTTTATTAACAGGTCAGAAAGAGAGCAGAACCATTAAAGGCAGACAATCTGGGTTTATGTATTGTCTCTGCCTGTAATCTCCAAACCTCTTCTCTCCTGTAATATGGTCCAATTAGACACGAAAATATCTAGCATTCAATGTTTAAATCCATTTACTGTGTCCAAGTTCCTTAAGCTTAGCGTTGTCCTTGAAATGTCCTCTAGCATCACAGACAAGATGCTGGAAGCCATCTTGCATTCATAACTTACCTGAACTGTGAGGTGGTGGTTTGGCTGAGTCACTTGGTAGACCACAGCATCCCCTAGTGGTCAGATTTAAACCTCAAGTCATGTATATTCTGAATTTCACAAGAAATTAACCTAACCCTTAGAGTGTCAGGCAACTGTGTTTTCCAAGTGTGGCACAGATTTTATTTGGCTACCTTTGGTTCAGTGGGTGATGTATTCTCCACTACTTATCAGGGAACCTGATGCATCTCAGGTTCATTTAATCCTCTACCCACTTCTCCATTCTGGGCTGCTTCTTTGTATGAGCTTAGGAATTCAAGCTGCTTCTCCTTCTCTTTTTTTGTGATTATAGATACTTTTCTACTTTTGAGGCACTTCGTTATTTCTACCTTATTTACTGTCCCTGACTATAAACACATAGGGCGTTTAATATGAGGATGTTACCTAAAGTTCCTGTGAAAGAAATCGGGAAGGAATAGTCCACCTGGGGTGATTGTGGTTTAGACTAGGAAGCATTAGATTTGGAGTCAGCCCTGAATTAAAAGCCTAACTTTGCCACCTTATTTGCTGGTGATATTAGTCAGGTTACTTAACTTTTCTAAGTTTACTCACAAGATAAGGATAACCTTACAGGGTTATTGTGGCTCATATGTAAAGCAAAGTGAACTACACAGCGGCCTCATGATCAGTTCATCGGGTCTGTAATCCCATCCTTCCATGGCAAATCATCTCTTGGGGATGGTTTGGTGGTAAAAGTTAATTCAAATGAGGTCTTAGTTCTTCTTTGGTTATCTCAGCACAAACCTGTCAGACCCAAAGAAGCAGACCTCCAAGTCAAGGCTGAGATATAGTCCTCAGGCTACCAGGGAAAATGGGGAGCTCTACATCACTGCTACTCACCTCAGTAACTAGTAGGGAATGGCCTCTGCTGGGGGAGAATTAAGGCTGAATGCAGAGGCTTCTCCACTGCATAGTTGAGAAAATGTAGCTTTTTTGGTTTCCTCAATGATTCAGAGCCTTTTTGAAAAAGTCCTGTCTCACATGAAATCTACATTGTGAGATATATGGAAAATCTTAAGACCAAACTCTGTTTCACCAGACAGGCAGCATTTCAAAATCATATGCCTCTGTACCTAGACCAGTGCCAGGCACAATAGATGCTCAGTTAAATCCCAAGGAACCCTAAAGGAATTATTTCAGTTGGTTAAAGGTGATGGGCAACATGTTTCTGGACTGAGTTTTCCAGCTGTTTCTTAAAATGCTAGTCTAGTCCTCATGGGATTACATGTATTCATGATCGATCATGTCTTGTCACTGAATATCTGCAATCACATTTCCTGAGACAGAGTCCTCAGAATGTGAGGAAGATGGGGAAGGAAAAAGCATGAAGGAAACCCTGTCCAAAATTACAGGATTGCTGTATTTTGTAAAACTTGGTTTATGCCGAGTTTGCCTCCATCCTCCGTCCCCAGTATAATCAAATGTGCCTTTGAGGAAAAAGCATATGGGAGCAACAGGAAGTGTTTAGATGCATTTTATTCAACAATCAGGCCAGCCACTGCATCATAGTGTTCTTATGGGATTTCAGAACCTTGGTTCTCAGCAAGGCCCAGATTTTTTAATGAGGACAGGAATCTGGCGTTTCCTATAGAAGAGATTGGGGGAAAAAAATCAGCTTAAACTTTGTTGATAAAACGTGACAACGGGAGAAAAACAAGGGAAAAAGATCAGCTTTATTTAAAATAGAGAGGTTTGAGATTCATTTCCATTTCTATTTCTCTTATTCATTTACTCATTCACTTATTCATTAACTCCTCAAATATTGATTGAGAACTATAACATACATTAAGGATACAACAAAAGGGAATAATGTCCGTCCTTACAGAGTTTACAGATCTAGCAGGGCGTTATAAAAAGCTTCTGAAATTAATCTTTAATCCATTGTTGCTTGTTTTCCTTCTGACATCATTGTCCTAGCTACCAGGTTTCCATCTTAGCTGGTGCCTGGGCTACTTCAGGACCTTCTAATTGATTGATCCTTTGCCTTAGAACTCTGGGGATTCTCATCTGTGAGATCTTGCAAAAGGAAATTATGTCCTTATCCCATATGATAGCTGCTTTAGTTAGCATCTAGACAGAGCCCACGGATTGGCTTATTTTCCATAGCTGTGCTGTCCACTATCCCATATAACTATTTAAATTTAAATCAGTTAAAGTTAAGTAATATTAAAAATCCAGGATTTCATTTATAGTAGCCACATTTTAAGTGCTGGCACCATGGCTAGAGGCCTCCTTATTGGACAGCATTTCTGTCATTGCAGAAAGTTCTACAGGAGAATACTAGTCTATAGAGAAGAATTTGCCAGTATTGATTTCCTAAGAAGACATACAGGAATTAGAAAACAAAGTTCTTACTGAATATATCTGCTAAGCACTTAATGAGCAAGGAGATGCAAGCCCTTGTTTGTCTACCCATCTCAAAGCTCAACAACTAAGGTCAGAGCCTGGCTCTAGTTAACCATACAATGTATTTGTTTGGGGCTTTTAATGGGCAGTAGAGACAAAGGCAAAATGGTACATTTGAAAATATGTTGCATTTGAAAAAGACACATTTTCTCTCTAGACCTGTTTTCTTATCAGAGAAATATAGGAAGAGAAGTTACATTTTCTGGCATTCAAATGTTGCTCCCATATTTACCTAATTTTAAAAGAATAGAAAGAGCAGGTAGGACTGGTAGGTTTGAAAGTCTGAGGAAACCAGGTGTCCCAGCTCCGTGCTCATATTTTCCCAATGGTTCAGTCTAAATACTGGGCCTTTTGATTGCGGCACTTGGAAATTGACCAAGCCTCAAGGCTGTTGTGTTGCTTTCTCCTCCCCTTGGATGGAAATATGATGTTTGACCTTAATGTCAAGAACATAGGCCATGAGAAAATTAACAAGTGGTTTCAAGTTCCTTTTAACAAGTGGTTTCAAGTTCCTTTTACAAGTCTTTAATGTGGAAATTTTTTTGAAAAAGCAGAACATCCAATGTTTTGGGCCTAAAACTTCAGGATATTAGACGTTTCTCCCTAGGGACCTATTTCCACAATTCTTGTTAAATACTGAGAATTTTCTGAAACGACTTAAAGCAGACCAAGAAGAGGGTGCATGGTACAAGGAATTAGAGATGTGGAATGCAGGCAGTCATTTGAACCTAAATCAAAGTCTTAATACCACATCAGTTCCAAAATAACAGAGTTTTCTGGGTCGCTTGTGGGATCTCTTTTATTTGTTTTGATCATTCTACACCTTTATTTAACCTGGAGCGCTTTTGTGATGCTATGAAAATGCAAAGTCCAGTTTAAATGACACCCTTTTCATGAATCCTTTCTTGACCCTTTCAGTAGGAAGCAATCTGTATTTCTCCTTCACTCCTGTAGCATGTTGCTCACACCTCATTTGATGGCATTTGTCACAAGTTACAAGAAGCTACCTTATATGTGCTATTTTCTTTCAGTTATATCCACTAGGAAAGCAAAGGAGACTAGCACAATGCTAGGCACATAAGTATTCAGCAGCTGAGTAAGACAGAAAATCTGTGGTGAATTTATTTCTCTGAGTACCTGAGTCTAATTCCCATCACCTACCCACCTACAATCAGTTCAGAAACTCCACTGAGGCTAGGTCTCACATCCATAAGTGATTGTGTTCACTAAAGTATTACATAAAGTGTTACAAAAATATGTTTTTGGTCACCTAATCTATATAATTCATATTTGTATACTTCAGGGCTTTAGTGAACACAATCATTGCTATCACCAAGAATGATTTTTTAAGTATAATGGTATTTTGGGTATGTGGGCTTTAAAAAATCCAGACAATCTCTTGTTCGCTATAAAAGGTTGGGTTTTTATCATAGAAGTGATTTTTTTTAATTAATTGAAAGAAACATTCAAACACTTTTCTTCCTCTAGCCCATTGTCCTTTCTTTAACACCTTTTATACAGCACCATGTTATTAATTCCTTTCTCACTTTTGTTCAGTTTTTTCTTCATCTTGAAATACCTCTCTCTCCTTCTTTATGTCCTAGAGAAAACCTCAAACTTTTCCAAATCCTAGCAGGCACAATTAGTTCTTTTTAATTTTGTGCTCTCAGAGTACTTTGCTTATACTACCATTGACCACACCGTGTTAGCGTTGAGTGTAAGCAAACTGGGAGACAAAACATGTTGGATTTTCTTGTGGATCTCACAAATATTTCAGTCTAGTACCTGACTTTAAAGTATAGTGGAAAGAGCAAGGATTTTGTACCAGATCTGCCACTCATGGCTGGGTGATCTCGAGCAAGTTATTTAAACTAACTGAGTCTCAATTTCTTCATGGGTATATTAAGCTGAGTATGACTTACCTCATAGAGTCATTGTGAATATTAAGTGCCTCGCATAATGCTTGACATAATAAATACTACTTTCTATCATAATACACACACACATACACACACACACACACATGCACACCTCTATATATAATCATAACATATATAATAAGGAGAAAAAGAAATCAAGAATTGTTTGGGGGAAAACTAGGTATTTTGTTTCTCTCATGGTGAGATTAATGTTATTGGTACATTCTTTGAGGCTTAAAGGGATAATATATGTAAAAATTTGAAGACTTCTAGCTTAAAACATATATTTTAAAAGAAATTCAGGTTTGTACTCACATATTTTCAATACATAACATGCATTCATTAGAATAAGTAAATCCATCTGTCCCACAGACAGGGTTATAAATCTTGGGACATCCACTCACTTCATTTGTACATTTAGCCTAAAAATGGAATGAAACAGAATCATTTCCCATCATTTTTCATTCTTTGAATTTATAGCAGAGTCTCTAAAATCTCCCTGGAGTTGATCAGCTTAAAGATGGAAGCATGATTGTGATTGGGAGAGTGATACTAAGTGTTCCAAGAGGAAGAATCCAAAATTTGGAGTTAGAAAACCTGGTTTTAAGTAATGCCTCTGCTATCTGCAAGCTGTGTGACATTGGTAAATCTCTTGGTGTCTCTGAACCACAGTCACTTCATTTGCAAAATGGGAATGATGTTGTTTCCCTACCTATCTCATCATGGCGTTGTGAGGTTTGAATAAAGTGAGTGAGATAATGTTCAAATTTACAATTACTACCTGTGCTGGCTCTCTCAGGTCAGCCACACTTTGGGGCATGTTCTTCCCTGCACACGGTAGTCCTGTCACCCTGGTCTTCTCTAAGTCAATTAAAGACACGCGGTGCCTTCTACCCTTGAGGTTTTTGCACAGCCAGTTTACTGTCAGTAAGAACTAGTAATTATCAAATGACTTTCACAGGGCAGACACTGTCCTAAGTGCTTTTCATGTATTATTATATTTTTATAATATTTATATTTATAATATTTATAATATTATAATATTTATAATATTATTAATAATATTATTATATTATTATATTTAAACTCATAGACTATCCTATGAACTTTTTATTATACTCTTCTTCTGGTAAAGGCAGTGAGGCACAAAGAGATTGAATCACCCAAGGCCACACACCTAATAATTACTGGATCCAGGATTTAAACCCAGTCAATCTAGGTCCTGAGCTTTAGCTCTTAACCACTTTATTCTCCTACTTCTCCCTTTGCTAACACTCATTTATCCTTCAGGGCTGAAAATAAATCTCACTGGCTTAGGGCACCTTCCCTGATTTAACTAGACTAGGTTTCTAATGGAACCAGAACTTCTTTATAACACATCACCAATGTAGTAATTTATTTACTTATACACTTTTGGTTTGCCATCGGCCTTCCCACTAAATATAAATGTAACGAGAAGAGGGACACTTCATCCTCTGGTCTCCAGATTTACTGAAATTTACATTATAAGTACAAGAAAAACTGGAAAAGTTAGATATAGAATATTTTTCTAGAGGAAGAGCCTAGTTTATTATTATTATTGCTCATTATAAATTAGAGCTCCACCTTGTTGATGAAGAGAACTTTATGCCAACATGGTCAAACTGGCTGTAAGGAGGAAAGGCTGCTTGGAGTAATGTTTAGAAGGTTTCCACTTAAAATCCTTGTCCTACCAGATAGCCCTAGTATATATAAAAACTCCTTCACGGCAAGCATAAGACTACAGAGAAATTGCCTGTGTATCAGTGAATTTGTCCTTCAACATAAGCGCCCGTGGCGGAACTACAATTACTATCCACATTTAATGGGTTAAGTCTTGCCAGCATTCATACTCCTCATATTAACTTCAGGCTAAATTGAAAGGTGAGTTAGACTACGCTTTGGGTGGAACAAACAGTCTTAGCCCCAGAAATAAAAATTTACAAAATTGTCTTTACCTCTCTTTCCAGGAAGTTAGCTCTAGTACTACCTAGAAAACATAAATCAGACATGTCAAGTTGCATCATGAATGGGAGAAGCCTAGGTATTCTCATTCAGAATTTTCTGCTTCCATTTAAGTCTGTGACTTCTCTGCTTCCTCTTCCACCACCCACCCCTTCTTATTACCATTTTTTTTTCAAGTATGTCTCATTTGTGTCCATTCACTCCCTGCTTGCTGAAACCTCAAAAAAATTAAGCAAAAATTTGATTAGGACCAAAGTATCTCAATTTGATATTTAAGACAAGTTGACCCATTTCCTTGAAAATAGAAATGATGTACTTACTGCTTCAAATGTGTCAGGCATAGAGCAAATACCTTCTGAATGGTCACTGACATTCTAGTAACAACCAGCTTATTGATCTCACAGTGATGTAGGAAATATAAGTATCTTTATCTCAGTTTATAGATAAAGATATGGAAAGTTTCTATAACTAGCTGTGAACACTAGCAATAACCAGGTCTTCTGATGAAAAACTAACTATTGCACTTACACGTAAGTCTTCTTTTGTAAGTAATGTTTTAAAAAAATGGAGCTCTTTTTTTTTTTTTTTTTTTTTTGGCGGTACGCGGGCCTCTCACTGTTGTGGCCTCTCCCGCTGCGGAGCACAGGCTCCGGACACGCAGGCCCAGCAGCCATGGCTCACAGGCCCAGCCGAAAAATGGAGCTCTTTTGACAGTTTACCTTCAGTTCCCAAAGAGCTCCCTCTCTCCATTGCATTATACTGACTATTAGTTCAATTCACATTTCTTGAATTTACAGGTAGATACTTAAAATTGCCATGCTGCATTCTCTAGAAAATAGCAGGTCTTGCTGACATCACCATCAGGAGATGGTGATTGTGGGTGAGCTCACTGCAGGGAAGGAGAACTAATTTGATAGTATCCAGAGGAAGAAATGTTGGTGAGATTTGATTTTGATACTAACAATCTCTGAGGTCATCTAGAGGATGTAGTTCTTCCTACCTAAATGTATTGAAAAGTAGTGAGACACTTAGGGGCTTGGAGAAGAAGGCCCCTGGAGAAGTCAGAACCTGATGTGGTGAGAGTCCCACTGAAGTTTAGAATCTAGTTGAGTCTAAAATTTAATGAGTACGTGGTCACCACAGGCATCTATATGTATTAATTAATATGCATGAGAAGGGGAAAAGGGACCACTGCTCCCATAAATATTTAGCAAATACAACAAACAGTATTGTTCCTTTTCTTCGCAAAGTGCTGATTTGGCTGTCAGTAGGTTTCTTTGCTAGATCTGATAAAAATTTTAAAGTGTTAACCATCTCCGAAGACAAAAAGGAAGCTGCTGCCAATGCCAGGGGTTCAGATCATCTGTCAAAGTTACTAAGACAGTTTGAAGATATAAACATACTGTCTATTCAAGAAGAACATTTTTTCTAGAAATATTCTGTAGGTCAAAAATAAAAATTTTAATCAAATTCTGCCCTTTATACTGGAGTAACTGGAAATCATTGTTAGCTATTTATGCAATTCCATGAGAACATAAAATTTGTAAATTGGCCTTAAACATTTACAGAGTTAGAAGTGTACTTGATATTGAAATAATCCCTTCTTTTTTCTACCATAGCTCTGACAAAGAGTCAGCCTCATTACCTGGGGAAAACCATTTCATGTCTGGGCAGTTCTCACTAGTAAAATTGTTTTCCTGTGTTATGTTAAAATCCCTCTTTCTATATATAATTCTCATCCACTGATCTTATTTCATCTCACTGGGACCAAAAGATCTGTCCAAGAGTAGACTCTAAGTCTAGAAAGTAATGTGGTCAGTAAAGCAACTGGTCAAAAAGGTTTTACTTAAATCAGAAAAATATGCAAAGCCACCTACCAGATAAACTCAATAGGACCAAGGCAATGAGAAGAAAGATGCTGGCCACCTTCATGGCTGGAGTGCTGGCTCCAGAGCTCAGTCAAAAACTGAACTCAACTTACCACTTCTCTCTAGAATCCTGGGACTGGAAGGTTCATACAGGCAGGATGGTATCCCAGTCTCCACCTACTGCCCTTTGTCACAGATCTCCTTGGTTATTGATTGACTCCGTAGCATAGCCTGGACCCAGCACAGCACCAGTGTAAGAAAGGTGAGAGGAATGCTGTGGGCCTAAAATGTGCAAGGTAAAGACTGTCAGGAAGAGATGACTAGTGGTTAGTTAGTTGGTTCTTGCCCTAACTTCCTCTGTGACTATGGAGAGGCCCTTCCTTTCTCAAGCCCTGGTTTTCTCATCTGTAAGGTGAACTCCAAGGTCCTTGTACTCTGTAGTTCTGGGTGCATGAACAGGTGTGAATATCTAAAAAACTCCCTCTATTCTTTCTTCCTTTTCTTCAGCTTTTCCATTTTTTATTCTTTCTCTCTTTTCTTTCTTTTTCTGTCACCCATTCATAAAGCCTAAAGTAGCTGAGAGAGGGACAGGGTAGAGGTAGGGAGGACTCAGTTCCCTAAGGTGTGTGTGTGCTCCGAGGTAGAGTGGGCTTACCAGAGATGCTTACCAGCTCTTTGTCCTTGGACAAGTAGTTCACTTTCAGTGAGCTTCAGTATATTCATCTGAGAACAGAAATAATAATAGTACCTACCTCAAAGTGTTGGTCTTTCATTCTAAAATATGCATTGTGCCTGTCACGTGTGGTTTGGGGAGACAATTCTCAATTATCTCTCATGTTTCTGCATGTCTCATGGGTAGAGACACTGACTGCCTGTGTTTCAAACAACTTTTTCAAGAGGGTTTGTATAACAAACAGCCTTGGGAGGTGGAATACTGTCTCTCTCTGGAGTAAAGGGGAGGTTTGTCTACCGTTGGGTGTAATAAGATAGTATCATTCACCAGGGTGAAGTTTAGGTAGCCATAGTGCTCTTTTTAAAAGATTAGGGGGCTTCCCTGGTGGCACAGTGCTTGAGAGTCCACCTGCCGATGGAGGGCACATGGGTTCGTGCCCCGGTCCGGGAAGATCCCACATGCCGTGGAGCGGCTAGGTCTGTGAGCCATGGCCACTGAGCCTGCACATCTGGAGTCTGTGCTGCGCAACAGGAGAGGCCACAACAGTGAGAGGCCCGCGTACTGCAAAAAAAAAAAAGAAAAATTAAAAGATTAGGGATTTGGGGGGGCTTCCCTGGTGGTGCAGTGGTTAAGAATCTGCCTGCCAGTGCAGGGGACATGGGTTTGAGCCCTGGTCTGGGAAGATCCCACATGCCGTGGAGCAACTAAGCCCATGCACCACAACTACTGAGCCTGCACTCTAGAGCCCGTGAGCCACAACTACTGAAGCCAGTGTGTCTAGAGCCCATGCTCTGCAACAAGAGAAGCTGCCGCGATGAGAAGCCCGAGCACCGCAATGAAGAGTAGCCCCCACTTGCTGCAACTAGAGAAAGCCTGCACACAGCAATGAAGACCCAATGCAACCAAAAATTTTAAAAAATAATAATAATAAAAATAATTTTTTTTAAATAAAAAGATTAGGGATTTTTTTAACATCTTAATTGGAGTATAATTGCTTTATAATGGTGTGTTAGTTTCTGCTTTATAACAAAGTGAATCAGTTATACATATGCATATATCCCCATATCTCTTCCCTCTTGCGTCTCCCTCCCTCCCACCTTCCCTATCCCACCCCTCTAGGTGGTCACAAAGCACCAAGCTGATCTCCCTGTGCTATGCGGCTGCTTCCCACTAGCTATCTATTTTACATTTGGTAGTGTATATTGGAAGAATCAACATTGTGGAAATGACTATACTACCCAAAGCAATCTACAGATTCAATGCAATCCCTATCAAATTACCACTGGCATTTTTCACAGAACTAGAACAAAAAATTTCACAATTTGTTTGGAAACACAAAAGACCCCAAATAGCCAAAGCAATCTTGAGAAAGAAAAATGGACCTGGAGGAATCAGGCTCTCTGACTTCAGAGTATACTACAAAGCTACAGTAATGAAGACAGTATGATACTGGCACAAAAACAGAAATATATATCAGTGGAACAGGATAGAAAGCCCAGAGATAAACCCATGCTCATATAGTCACCTTATCTTTGATAAAGGAGGCAAGAATATACAATGGAGAAAAGACAGCCTCTTCAATAAGTGGTGCTGGGAAAACTGGACAGCTACATGTAAAAGAATGAAATTAGAACACTCCCTAACACCATACACAAAAATAAACTCAAAATGGATTAAAGACCTAAATGTAAGGCCAGAAACTATCAAACTCTTAGAGGAAAACATAGGCAGAACACTCTATGACATAAATCACAGCAAGATCCTTTTTGACCCACCTCCTAGAGAAATGGAAATAAAAACAAAAATAAACAAATGGGACCTAATGAAACTTAAAAGCTTTTGCACAGCAAAGGAAACCATAAACAAGACAAAAAAACAACCCTCAGAATGGGAGAAAATATTTGCAAATGAAGCAACTGACAAAGGATTAACCTCCAAAATTTACAAGCAGCTCATGCAGCTCAATATTAAAAAAACAAACAACCCAATCCAAAAACGGACAGAATTCCTAAACAGACATTTCTCCAAAGAAGACATACAGATTGTCAACAAACACATGAAAGAATGCTCAACATCATTAATCATTAGAGAAATGCAAATCAAAACTACAATGAGCTATCACCTCACACCAGTCAGAATGGCCATCATCAAAAAATCTGTAAGCAGTAAATACTGGAGAGTGTGTGGAGAAAAGGGAACCCTTTTTCCCTGTTGGTGGGAATATAAATTGATACAGCCACTATGGAGAACAGTATGGAGGTTCCTTAAAAAACTAAAAGTAGAACTACCATGTGATTCAGTAATCCCAATACTGGGCATATAACCTGAGAAAATCATAATTCTAAAGAGTCATGTACCACAATGTTCACTGCAGCTCTATTTACAAGATTAGGGATTTTTAAAACCTTGGCATCCTTCCCTTGTAACACACTGTGCTTCCTGTGCAGATACCCTTGGCCCTCTTTGTGTCACCCTATGGAGGCTGGGCCTGGGGAACCAGAGCAAATGCTGGCAGTCTGGCTATTGCTATTGAATAATTATATCTCTTTTGTCTGAGTCAGGAGTCTGTGTCTTCTGCCAGCATCTCTTTAACTGTGGCAGGCTAACATGTCAGCTTCCAAGTATAGGGTATAATCTTAGACCCTCCCAGGTCTTGATGTATGTTAAGAACTGCACTCATCTATGTGGATGGATCAGTGAGTGAAAATGACAGCCCCTGTCCTCATGGAGCTTCCATTGCATTTAAGTTGGGGGAGACAGGCAATAAAAAAGTAATCAAATAATTATAAAGATTATAATAAATATTATGGAGAAAAAGAATAGAGAAGATAAACCTAGAGGTTTGGGGAGGTAGTTATCACAGATTGGTCAGAGAATGCCTTGCTGATTGACATTTGAACAGAAACATGGAGGAAGTGAGGAATTGAATCATGCAAATATCCAAGAACATGCACCCCAGACGGAGGGAAGAGAAAGTGCAAAGTCTCTGAGGCAGAAACTTGCTGATGTGTTTGAGAAACATCCAAGATGACCGTCTGGCTGGAGCAAAGTGATAGAGAGAAACATAGGCAGTAAGATAAAGGAAATAGTGGGGGCCTGGATAATGAAGAGCCATGTAAGCCATAGTAAGGACTTTGGTTTTTAACCAACGGAAAGCCATTGGAGAGTTATGGCAGAAGAATGACATGATATGACATTCCTTCTAAAAGGTTTTTGTGCTCTATGAGAATAAACTATAAGGCAATGACAGCGGCAAAAAATCCTAATGTTAGGCTATTATAATAGTCCAACCAAGAGACGATGGTGAAAGTGGAAGAAAGAGGTTGATTTTATAGTTGAGGTGAATTAATACATATAAAGCTTTTAGAACAGTTTCTGGCACATGGTAAACATTTAGCAATATTATCCATCACTATTATTTTTATTGGTGTTATTTTTTCAGTATTTAAAATGTTGTTCCATCTAACCAGAAGGCTCCTCTTTAACCTTACACAACAATGAATTCTTCCTAAGTCTTTAAAATTCACTTTGAATGCTGTTTCTTATTGGAAAGCTTCCGCAGCTCATTCTGAGTTTCCATGGTATCTCGAACATGCTTGAATATAATACATAATACACTGTTGAAACTGTGTATATAACTAGCTCCCTCATCTTCCACTGATGCTTCAACCTTTACCATCCTAGCTTCCTCCATCTTGTTTAGGTCACCAATTCAGGTTGATTAATTCCGTAAACATTTTTCCAGAGCACATGACCTCTAATTCTTCAAACTTGATCAAATGCAGTATAATCTCTTTTCTTGGGCTTCATGATTCCACAGTCTCCTACATTTCCTCATACCTTCTTCATCCTCACGTCATCTCCATCCTCTCTGTTGACACTTCCTCCTCAAATGAGTGAGGACTTGGTGTTTCTCAAGTATTCGTCCTGGATCCTAGTCCTTCCTCACTTTGCAATTTCTGTAGGTGAGCTCATTTATCCACATTATTTAAATTATATATATAATTATATATATATTTCTCAAATATGTATCTCTTTCCTATATCTCTCCTTTGATCTTCATATCAAATATTAAGTGCCTTCTTGACAATTTTGGACATCCTATAGGCACTTCAAATTTAATGTTCTATACTATTGTTTTAATGATTTACCACAAATATTTGTCTCTTCAGTCTCCTCATGGCTTCTTTTCCTTTCAACTGGTTGGGCAAGTCAAAACCTAAGTGTTCTCCTTGATGCCTCCCTCTGCCCTTACCATGCACCATCTTCCATTCTTGATTCGTTACCAAGTTCTCTTCTTGACTCTGTATCCAAAATAACCTCAATTCTGGACACTTCTCATTACCTTACACTGTCATATCTAAGATGATGCCATCATTTCCACTTTGACTTTCTGAAATTACCTTCAGGTAGTTTCCCAACAACATCTACCATTATTTCATCCTCAAAG